GGTAACCAGGGATAGGTTGGGGTTGGGGACAGGGACAGAGATTTATTCTGATCTGAACATGGTTATGATGAGTTCCCGAGTCTGATGCCAGGGAACAAAAGGCTCATTCTTCAGTTCCCAGAATGGGGATTAGCAGTGAAGCAGCCTTGCTTGGTTTGTCCTGAAACATCAGATAATTTTTCATTAAGGCTTTTCATGGGATGATATGTTCCCCTGGTACAGGTGCATCTTTTTCAGTGGCGGGTGAGATGCCTACCATTTATATATAATTTTAAAAGTGACCTTTTAAGAATGAAAGGTTAGAGATCCAAACATGACCTTGTTATCACCCTACTGGTCAACCACCAACGTGGTCTTCTATGTCACAGCTTATCTGCGGAAATCATAGTATCAATAAGTTGTTCTTGTCTGTTTCCACGTGGATTAGAACTGTTCAGATGTAGTCATCGACCAGAACTGATACTTCTTGGATGTATCCCTGTGAATGAATGGGTTTATGAGGTCATTTTTTTCTTCAAGAAATATTTTCATTCTTATTCAGTTCCCTGGGCATTCTCTTACAATAGGACACCATGGATATACTGAAAGAAAAACTTAGAAGGCAAATAGAAAATGACAGAAGAATATAAAAGTACTAAATTTGGAATTATATAGACATTTGTTAACAATACTGCACCCAAACAAAAAAACATTTTTCCCACTTAACCTTTCCAGGGCAGCAAGATAGAGGATTACTGACTAGATCAATAAGAATCTAAAAAAAAATTGGAAGCTGCTTATATTTTCTGCTCAGATTAGTTTTTCAAGGGCAACAGAAGAGGCAAGGAAATCCTTTATTGATTACCAATTACAGCCATTTTTAATAGTCAAATTTAAATATAGGTTTTAGCAGCTGGTGGGTTCGGTTTGGTCAAAACACGTGTTGACTTTCTGGATTGTTTGCTCACTGTAGACGCTGACTTGTTGTGGAGAAGGGACTGCGCGCTGATCTCCTTTGTCTCCGGAAGGATTGATTGACGGATGTTGTGTCTGCTCATTTACAGCGTTTTTCTTGCTTAATTTAAAAAATTGTGACATAGTATTACATGTTCCTTGTATACATCATTTTTGCAGAAGAAAGTTGTTTAGCCAATATGTCGACTTAGTTTATATGAATTCGTCTCTATAGCTTTCATTCAGCCTTCAGTGTGCTCCATTAGGTCATATCATTTGCTTCATGCAAGGCAAATCATCACCAGCAGCAAAATTTAACATTTGGTCCTTTTAGGTATAAAAATGAATCAAATGCCTGACAAGATTGGTTTCTGGTATATATTTCCGAACCTCCCCCACCCCCCACCCCTTTATGGGCATACAACAAATGTTACTAACGGGTACTTTTAGTTTCTAAAATATGGACAACAGTACTCCATGCAGTAAAAGACTTGAGCGATTAATGCTACCCTTATGCCTCTTTTGAGTAGTTTTAGCCATGGGGCTTGGCACTGCCACCATTGTCTCTGTGCCAAAAGATATCCGCAGCGGCTGTCGCGTTCTACTACTGGAGGGTCGTCTCGAAAATTCCGCAGTGAACGCGCCGGGTTTGCTCATCGCTGCCATCTCTTTTAGATATTGGGAAAATAGGGTCTTTCGCTCTTTCAAAGCTCTGTTGTGGTTGTAGGGATGGGGGGAGGTGGGTGTCGAAGAATGGAGAAGAGAGGAAAGAAGCTGTCTGCGCCAGCCAGTTGGTCTAAGTGACAAAAATCCACGCCTGACATAGAGTAAACGCAGACATTGAGGGGCTTTTGTGTTCATGAGCACAGATAGTCACTTAAGAATCCTCCTCAAACACGTTATCAGCGCTCTTGAACATTTTATTATCTGAAACAAATGTTGCAGTGAATTTTAAGCAGAAAATCAACATCAAAACCATAGCTAATTTTTAATGGGCAGTTTACACAAAGACACATACATACATATATAATATATGTTTGTGTGTATGTATTTTAGAAACTGAGATGTCATTGTAAAATGGCTGCTGTTTGTCATTAGCAAATGATGGGAATAGATCTCATATGTTCGAGAAGGTGCTTGGGTTTATCCCCAGTCCCTGATTATTTTGCTCCCAAACAGGGGTTGGGGCTCTGAGGGCAGATATATAGTTGAATTTGGAAACAAAAAGATGTAATAAAGTTAAAGGCTTACACTATCAGAATGAAATGTGTTCGTTCAGGATCTCTGGAGTGATCTATTTGATGGTAAAAGTGGTTGCTACATATGAAATCTTTACAAGGAGCATAATCCTAAAATAAATAAATAAATAAATAAATAACAAAAAAAAAAAAGTGCACCTCCCAGCCTCCTGCTGGCTGCGCTGCCTCTTTGGTACCTCGCAGACTTCGACAGAGTCCTGGACGGGTGCCCATTGATGTCATGGAAACACTCAAATTACTGAGAATGATTCATGTCTATGCTGGTCTCTTATCCTCCCCCACACAAACAGGAGTAGATTTTTAACCCTGACAACTTGTAATTTGCAGTGGGTTTATTTTTGTATCTGGATAAATATTTTTTAACAAGCAAAATTAAGATTAAGCAGTCTGTATCTGATATGATAGTAAAGAGTGCCGGGTCTATGTAGCCAAGAGCACTTTGGGGACTGTGGGCAGCGTGAATTCATACTCTCTTCTCTCCTTTCCTTCCTACCCCCTTGCTCTTTTCATTCCACTCCCCCCTCTTGATTTCTCTCCTTTCTCTCCCATTTATTTTCATTCATATTCTCTCTCTCTCTTTCTCTCTCCCTTACTATGTGCCCTGACCTTCCGGCTTTAAAATAATGGAAGGAATAGCCCCAACTTGTATATATGAATCGAGACAAATCCTGGTAGGAAAATTCATCTCTCCAGGTCTATGTGCTACAGTCGGGTTGGGAAATAATGCCAGGTGGTGAGACACTATAGGGGATAGCTTCAGCAATTCCTTCTAAAGGGGAAGGGAAAAAAAAAAAAAAAAGAGGATAACCCTTCTTCCTTCTTACTGTATTTTGTAATCTGATTTTTGGAAATTACCCTAACAGGACACTAGATGTTCAATTTCCTAGGAAGTCAGAGTAAATTCTGTTTTATCCATCTATCTTTCTATGTATCTGTCTGCCTACCTCTCTACCTGATTTTCTGGCAGTTAAACAAGTGAATATGATGTCAAAGGGAACTATGTAGTTATTGTTATTGAAGCTTTTTAGACACAAGAACTTAAGGAAGGACAAACATCACTTGATAGCTCATAATGGCTGAGCTTTTTCTGTTAGTAATATTTATAAAGGGGAGTTAAAGGGTATAAGTAGCCTACATTTGACTTAGAACAAAAAGTAAATATGTGTCTATGACCATTTAATGTAAAATCCTCATACAATGTAAATCCTTCGGTTTAATGTAAAATCTTCGGTTTAATGTAAAATCCTCATACAATGAAAGTTATTCTCTTAGATCTTTCAAGACTGACAGTCTACAAGATGGCATCCTGTTTCATTGGAATTGAAACTGATATGGGCATTGATTTTCTCCTTTGCCCTGAAAACTATACCAGAAATGGAGGAGCTGGAGGGAGTGTTTTCCTAAACCCAAGATTCACTGAGGCCAGTAGAAAAGTTAATACTGAGAGAGAGGGGGTTAATTTTATGATTCAGGATTGGCTTTCTTTGAAAATCCCCTTCCATTTTATGTACATAGTGACTTCAGTACCAGTTACACTTTTGACAAGATAGAAGATTTATTAAAGATCCGTTCTTTGTGTGGTGTCAGGAAGGTAGACTCTAATAGCATTGTCGTTGAACCAAAAGATAAAAAATGACTGCCGTTACTTTTAACATTTATTTTAACTGGCATGGAGGGAGGAAAACTTGGGGGTCATAAACTCTAGAAGGACTTCAATTCCGTCTCTCAAAATACTACTTCTGAATCTTCCCATTGGAAAGAACAGTAGAGTTGTGGGTAAAGTGCTATGTCCCCCTCAGCTCTAGTCTTGAAGAGAGAAGTATCCCTTTGTCTTGGGTGGGGTGGGATGGGGTTTGTCTTCTGGGTACTTGGTCATGCCACTAGTCCTTTTTGACATCCTAATATGGATCGATTTTCTAGGACAACTCTTCACATGTCACTAAAGTCTGCTGCTTAGATCTCTCGTAATGTGGCTTCATTGTCTCCCTTGCAGATTATTAAAGCTAAACATACTTCTAAAAAAAAAAAACAAATGAGCAGCCTTGATTTTATCCTTAGATGTGTCCAAATAGCACCTGAGGCTCCATACGTCTGTGTAGAGACATCTACAGATAAAAACTGAGTTGTTAGAATTGGCACAACACATGGACAGTCCCTTATTCCTTGTTCTACTGGGTCAATTGGTAGAATCTGAACTTGGGTTCAGAGGAGACGATTTTGCAAAAGCCCCCTTTCCCCAATGTAAATTCCATCATCATCGTCTTGATCATGATGGGGTGTACCCCTGGGAATGGGAGTTTAAAAAAAGAGAGAGGGAGAGAGAGAGTCTCAGAATTTTGAGTAGTTTCTTTGCTATTTTCACCATCTGGAGAGCCTTGATTGATTAGCTTTGGCCTCACCATTAAGTGTCAATATAATCAATGGGAATTACTAGACTAGGGTCATTACATAGATAATTTGCCTGCTGTGTAAATAAAAATGAAATTGTTTAAATTTTGCGAGAGAAAGAAAGTGAAAATAAGGGCTGACAATTTGTTTGTTAGAGAAAGTGGAGGCCATTGGAATGACAGTTTTTGGAAGTGTGGAGCAGTTTGGCTAAGAATAGGAATGAAGGATATTTTTTTTCCAGTTTATCATAGCCAGAGAGAGGAAGTGTTATTCCCTCTCTTGCTTGCATACATTGCCAGTAGTGCCTACTTTACGTATGTAAACATCGGGGAAGAGAAGTGGATGTCTGTTACCTGGAGATTTTTTTTTTTTTTTAAGGAAAAACATAATTTACACTTTTTTTGTTGTTTCTCTTGGCAGGTAAAACAGAAAGGGGCTCATACTCATCTTATGGGAGAGAATCAACCTTACAGGGTTGCCATCAGGTAAGTGAGAATCTTGCTTGGGGAAGGGTTGAGAGAATGAACCTGGTAAATCAGTTTGTTTTGTAAATTAGGTGATGCATTTTCGAGCGTGGCACTAAGATGCACGGAAAGTCTGCCGACGCCTCTGTCTTTTAAAAAGTAATGAAATAGCACAGAGCTTGGAAGTAATAAACCTCTTGTTCTCTAGATCCCTGCCGTATCACCACTGCCTTCACTGGCTTGTTTTTCTTTTTTAATCCATCAGCCCGTACCAGTGGCACTGTTTGCAAACTAGCAATGTCGTTTAAAGTGATTCTATCAAAAGAGTTTATTTGCAATTAAGAACTTAAGAATTTCTTACACTAGAAATACTTCGTGCAGCCATGTGTCAGACCCTGGGTTCGGGTGGTTATTGCCCTAAATTATAGTTTTCGTAGGGGCTGGATGATGTTGTGTGAAAACAGGGTTGTATTGAGGGATAAAAATGTCTGTGAAAATATGATTTGTTGTCTCTTTTTGTTTCTGAATTGTTTTTGGCTGGAAGTCAAGGCCAGCAGGCTAACAGCAAAGCCGTCTCAAGGGAAGCATGCGTGAGCTAGAAAAATAAGAGTACTTTAATTAAATAATAAAATGCCAGTGTAATACAAAGGTATAGCATGTGTGTGTTTGTGTCTCTGTGCACTCTGCATTTGCATACTTTGCCCTCTCCAGAGAAAGCCCAGTTCTAAAAATACTACCCCTAGCCAAAAGTATAAGCTTTGTTTTAGGACAATTGAGTTTTGATAGATGCTTTCTTTTTAACTTCAGTACCGGTATTAATCGTACGTTTAAAATCCTTTATTTTGCTTAGGATTTAGACTTTCTCTTTTTGTAAGTGCATTGGTTTCTTACTTGGGAGAACTCTTGCTAGAATTTAGTAATCCTGTCTCATATTCAAAGCATTCTACTGTTTCATTCCTCACCCAAACCGAATGTACATTCTTCTTATGCTAGAAAGGGAAGGCTTGCTCTCGAACCCGCTCACCCTCGCATCTTCTTTAATGGTCTGGGGGGGTGTGTGGGGGGGATCGGTTTTGAATTTTTGAAACAACCTGTTTAATATATCCTGGAAAATGTGAGCAGGCAGTTGTAGCAGTTAAACAGAGGCTGTGAAGGATGTTACTTTATGTATCAGTCAGATGTCACTAGAGGTGGAATTCTGGTGGAGGTTTATTTTATTTTATCCCCCCCCTGGATATATTTGCATTTTTAAAATTGCCTCCTCTGACCCAGCCACCCCTTCCGTCCTATTCAGCATCTGAAAGCTTGGTTGCAATGAGGGGAAGCGGTGCTTGGGTTAGAGCTCCTGCCACACGGGCTGCACAGTACAGTTTCTAGCAGTTTGTTTGGAAAGAATTCCGCAGGAAAGAAATTCACAGCCATTCCAGCACAACGGAAACATCTTTGGAATGTGAGTGCAAATGTTCGGGGCAGATAGCTCGGGCGACAAGCCTCTCAGTGCCGAGTCTCTAGTGTAAAGCTCCCAATTCCTGCAGAAGGGCCGGTTCCTGTGTATCTGGTTTCTGAGGGTCAAGGCAGAGGTCATTAGAGTTTTGGGGAGAAGAAAGTTGACAACATCCTTCCTTTTTGCAGATGGTCATGGCAGAGGTCTCTGTTTTTGCTGGGCCTCTTTTTCTGGTCAACGAGAGAATAGGCTTCCTCGCCCCTGTATCCTTTCTTACTAATAGGAATTGGCGTGATTCCTCACAGACACAAAGATTTCCTCTGCTGAGTAAGCGCGAGGCCCCTTAACTTGTTAAAGCATCATCCAGACCGCGTGAGTCTGTCTGTGTATGTGCGGGGACGCAGACCCTCCCTCGGTTTGTGGGAAATACTTCCCTCGGGTGAAACTGAAGTTATTTTTTTGGCAAACACAAGGTGAGAAGTGGAAGGGGCAGAGGGTGGAGGAGAGGTGGACGGACTGGTGTGTGGTGGCTGAGTTTCTGGGCCTCGGGAGGCTCCTTCTGAGACATTCGTGTCCAGGAAAATTCTGCTTTCTATCGGAGTATGACTGCATATGCTTTTCTTAAAAAGTCTTCATAATGTAGCTGTGGAGTGTGGAGAATTTCTCTCTTTCTTATTTCTGCTTCATGGTCGTGAGTGTTGCAAGAACTATCTCTGGGCTTAGCATGGTCTCAGCGGTATCCATAAACGGTGTGATCCCTTAAGGATAAATAAAAGAGCAAAATTTCAGAAATTCCCTGCCTGAGAAAATAGGGGCTGGAGAGGAAAAGTGCCCGTATTATGAATTTCTGCTTTCCGTGAAATTTGAGAATAGAGCAGACCATAGTGTGTCTTCCAGTGCATATCTGTCTTGTGCCGAATTGCTTTTTGAATATCCCTGTCTCCAGCACCAGCTATGCAAACCAAAAAGAAAGGCAAAGTCTCGGGTATCTTGGGCTTCAAGTCTAAGTAGCAGATCACAGCTGAAATGATTCCCCACTGGGTGGCAAGGTGAGTGGCTCTCCTGGAGAGGAAGCTTTTGTTTCTCCTGTTTACTACATTCTAGAGATGCTGCGTGGAAATCCTTTACATGATATGCCCCGAGGAGCTCCAAAAGCAGCTTTATCGTATTATAACAATGTATCCTGTGGACTTAGAGGGATGAGCCCTGTGACATGTGAAGATGCTTATTCAGATCCCAGTAGCCTTTTGTTTGGTGTAGAGAAATAGTGGTGGTAAGCAACAGGTAGCAAAACGCTGTCCTGGAGAAATCAATTATTATTCTGAAATGTATGTTATTTTAAAAATGCGTCAGGTTAAAAGATATATGTATTTTACATATATGTATATATCTCTATGATGTTTCTCTTGAAGATTTAACAATAATAGTAACAGACACGTGGCTTTTTAAAAAGCAGATATTTTAGCCAAAATACAAAAGCTGGCAGGTTCTTTATTAAGTTGTTTTCATTATAAATAGTAAAGGGATAATAGGAATTCATTAATGCATTTCCACGTAAAATTATCAGAAATAAACATGGTAACTTTTTCAGACTTTTGAAACTGTATAGGAAATGAACCAATAGACAAAGCAAAGCAGCCAAATGGGCTTTTTTTTTTTAGTTCTCACTAAATATGACAAAACTAATTTAAATCAAATTGGGGTACGGAAATCACACCCAGGCTTAAAATGTTCTTGCCAAATTGCAACCTCATACTACTTTTACTGGCAGAGAAAATAAAATTTATAATGGAAAGTCTGACAGAAATGAAAATGAGCGGAAATAAAGTTTTTCACAAGATCGTCCAACCTTAATATGATAACCAATAGCTAGTACCTAATGGGCATCACTGCAGATGACAAAAGAAAAAAAATGTCATTTGCTTTTGACCTCCTTTGCTGCTTTGAAGAGGACGTTTGGCGATTGCAAACTTTTTTATCTTGCCGAGATCTTCTGTTTTTGAATGAGATGATGATGTCAACACAACTGATTGTTATTAAGGCAGAAGTTTTCCCCTTAAATGGAAGTTCAGGATTGATTATCAGGAATTGTTTGTCTTTTCTTTTTTTGGGATATAGCTCAGGTCTAAAGTAGTGGTTTCATTATTAGTATCTCCTGGGCAAGGTGTGTGTGGGGTGTGTGTATATAGAAACCTGCGCCTTATCTGAGACCAATTAAATTAGAATCTTATGAGTTGGGCCTTAGCTTTTCTGACAATTCCCCGGGTGATTGTACTGTGCAGCTAGGTTTGATCATTTCCTAGAATGGTCTATAGGAATATACTCTATTTTAAAGATGTGTCCAAAAGCTGGTATTGCCACTGACCTTGAAAAAGCTTTTAGACTTCTTGCCTTAATTTGGTTATTCAGGACATGGAAATATAATGCATATGTACTTCATTGAAGAGGCAGTGAAAATTCGTGATTTACTGAAAATCAGGAAGATGCCTTGAAGTCTTTACACAAAATTCTGCAACTGAATGTCTCAGCCCATCTCTTGTTTTTATCTAGTGAAGTCCAAGGTTTTAACCTCATCCACATTCTTTCTGTTTCTCAGCAAGTAATCAAATAAGACTATGCTGATAAAATTATTTGATGCTGAGATCTCAAAACTGATGGGATTTAAGAATTAGGCTTACTCTCAAATACTTTCATTAAATTCCAGAAACTTTGAAACTGTATAGAAAATGCATCTTCTCTATATGAAACTGGATTTGCTCATAAGCCTCGTTGTTTTGGGTTCATTGAAATAAAACATTATAGTTGGTGCTGAAATGAATGGCACACTGAAGAATTCATTTTTTCTTAATTATTTTTATTTTTGAAACAAAAAGAATTACAAATGACTTCATTCTAAAACTTTGGGCTCCTTTAACTTTACCTTATGTGAAGTCAAAATGGAAAGGATATAAGCAGAGAAGGCATGAAATCCTTTGTCCCTTCTTAAGAAAATGGCTACTTAGGTCTTGTAGAAACAGAAATACATCTTATCTTTTTTTTTTTTTTTTAAATTTGGCATTATACTTTGTTTATGGTGGACAGTGGGTCAGTCTGGCCCAGTGCATTCTTCCCAGGACCCTCTCCCATCCACGTACTACGTCTGCGTCCTGCCTTAGCACTTTGAGTGCCTTCATTGTGCCTCTTGAGTTTGCCATTACTTGCATTCGTTGAATGTTGGTTTCCACCAAGATTCTGTAGACTCCTATGAGGCAGGGACCTTGTTGTCTTTATCTTGCTCTGCGTACTCCGTGCCTAGCAGGGTGAAGATTGTGATCCCTAATGCCTGTTTCCCCCGCATCACGTTTAGGGATCATTTTGAGAGAGGGAAGTCGAGAAGTGGCGATATATGGGAACCATAGGTTTAGCAGTTTTCATACCTACAAAAACGAGAAAATCACGTTCTCTCAAAGAAAGTCCTTTGGAAGTCCGCCCTTCTACTGTGCTGTGCGGGCCCTGGAAGGACACAGAGGTCCTATGGTGGAGAGTCACTCCTCCCTCACCGGGCGCTGACCATCAGCCTGGAGGTGGTCTCACTGTT